CTGCAGATGCAAGTCTCCCCTGAGTTTAGAGAAGTTTGTGTAACTGTAACAAACGTTGTCGTTGGTCAATAAAGAGTCTGGGTCCTTGTAGGTCTCACTGTTTTAAAGGTGAAAGCAAACGCTTGTCTGTGGCTTTGTAAGGGGTCAAAGGTCAAGAAGTCAGTGTGGGGAGAGCATACTGGACACATTAGAAGTGTGCTCAAAAAGGACTACATGTTTCCCACTGATAGTTTTTGTCACCTGTGGATGAGAAACACCGACAGTGTCATTAATGTAGCGCACAGGTGTCCAGCTCCAGGCCTGGAGGGCCGGCGTCCTGCAGGGGTCAGGTGTGTCCTTGATCCAACACAGCTGATTCAAAGGGCTAAATGACCTCATCATGTCGTGTAGTTCTCCAGAGGCCTGGGAATGAACTAATCATGTGATCAGGTGTGCTGACCCAGGGTCAGATCTAAAACCTGCAGGACGCCGGCCCTCCAGGCCTGGAGTTGGATGGTTCCAGTTAAAGTTGAGGATAAAGAAATGCTTGTTTTCTATACACACCTCGAGGTCAAAGGTCATTATTGGAGTTTTTTGTCAGTTTAAGATGAACTGTAATATGTCAGCAAATGAAACCCAAACCTTTGATTCATACACGTGTTTGACACATGCAGCCCCACTGCGTCTGCATTTAAAGGGTACACACATATGCATACAGTACATGTCCTGTGACACACTGTGCACACACGTGCTTCCTGCAAACCATATGTGCATCATCCCACGTAGGACTGAAAGAGAAGGATGTTGTCGTCACTTCCCGCAGCCCGGAGGCCGCTGCACCAGCAGAGACCGCTCATCCTGAAGCCACACCTGAAGGTAGCGCACAAAGAACACACTGACAGTACAACTGTGAGCACAGTGAGAATTATACAAGTTCACAGAAAGATTATTATTCATGTTTATGGGCCCGAACAGACACAGCTGTGAGGTGTGTCGTGTCCTCCAGTTTACATGGTCACACAGCACCAATCATGTTTCACTCACCTGTGACTGAAATATGGAGCAACGGTTGTAAGCATTTACAACATTATTCCAAAGTCCCACATCTGATGGTCTGTGCTGGATCCATGCAGACACGTGGAGGATCGTGTCAGGGTCAGAGGAACACAGCTGATGTGGTTTGAACAGAGCTGGACTGCATCCACACACAGCTGTTACCAGTGTGACGTTATCTACTCCACCTGTGCAGTCAGGCGTGTCAGTATGTGGATGCAAACGGCTGTGCTTCCTACTCGCACTATTTATATAGCACATTTAAAACCAAAGGTAGCCCAGAGTGCGTCACAATAATACAGTAAGTCATTGTTATCAAACATCAACAGAGTGCAAAATCAAGCACTAGTACTAATACTAAGCACTCGTTAAACCAGGAGAGTGGGCTAAACAAAATAGATATCGGGCCTCGGTTCACAGATCGGTTCATAAATATAAAATATTATCTGGGTGAATAAGAAATAATGCAGTAAAAAAGTTAAAATAGATGAAATAAGGGCACTGACTAGTGAAACTAATGAAATAGGTACGTTTTTAACCGTGTTTTGAAAGATTGAATAGAGTCTGAGGCACGAATAGTAACAGGAAGACTGTTGCAGAGGTTCGGTGCAGCTGAGACAAAAGCACGATCGCCCCGGGCTTCAGGTGGGCCCCGGGCTTCAGGTGGGCCC